GATCCCAACTCCCCATCCAACTCCCGCCCTATCTCGCTACTGCCATTTGCCTCCAAGATACTCGAGAGAGTTGTGTACGCCAGATTGACATACTTTCTCGAATCCAACTCTCTGCTTGACCCCCTTCAGTCTGGATTCCGCGTTGGTCACTCTGTCGAAACTGCTGTGACCAAAGTATCCAACGATTTAATTGCTGCTAAATCTCACGGCCAATACTCTATCCTAATCCTCCTTGATCTTTCTGCCGCCTTTGACACTGTTGATCATCAACAGCTTCTTCACATTCTCCGTAACTTTGGTCTACGGGATACTGAACTTTAAGTTTGGATTCAAATATTGTTGAATGGGTAAGGCAGTGGCTGAGTGACAGGCAACAGAGGGTTGTAGATAATGGAATATATTCGAAGCTTGGACTTGTCACCAGTGGGGTACCTCAGGGATCTGTACTTGGACCCATTCTCTTTAATATTTTTATTAGTGATATTGCAGAAGGTCTTGATGGTAAGGTATGTCTTTTTGCTGATGATACTAAGATATGTAACAGGGTTGATGTTCCAGGAGGGATAAGCCAAATGACAAATGATTTAGGTAAACTAGAAAAATGGTCAGAATTGTGGCAACTGACATTTAATGTGGATAAGTGCAAGATAATGCATCTTGGACGTAAAAACCCAAGGGCAGAGTACAGAATATTTGATAGAGTCCTAACCTCAACATCTGAGGAAAGGGATTTAGGGGTGATTATTTCTGATGACTTAAAGGTAGGCAGACAATGTAATAGAGCAGCAGGAAATGCTAGCAGAATGCTTGGTTGTATAGGGAGAGGTATTAGCAGTAGAAAGAGGGAAGTGCTCATGCCATTGTACAGAACACTGGTGAGACCTCACTTGGAGTATTGTACACAGTACTGGAGACCGTATCTTCAGAAGGATATTGATACCTTAGAGAGGGTTCAGAGAAGGGCTACTAAACTGGTTCATGGATTGCGGGATAAAACTTACCAGGAAAGGTTAAAGGATCTTAACATGTATAGCTTGGAGGAAAGACGAGACAGGGGGGATATGATAGAAACATTTAAATATATAAAGGGAATCAACACAGTAAAGGAGGAGACTATATTTAAAAGAAGAAAAACTACCACAACAAGAGGACATAGTCTTAAATTAGAGGGACAAAGGTTTAAAAATAATATCAGGAAGTATTACTTTACTGAGAGGGTAGTGGATGCATGGAATAGCCTTCCAGCTGAAGTGGTAGAGGTTAACACAGTAAAGGAGTTTAAGCATGCGTGGGATAGGCATAAGGCTATCCTAACTATAAGATAAGACTAGGGACTAATGAAAGTATTTAGAAAATTGGGCAGACTACATGGGCCGAATGGTTCTTATCTGCCATCACATTCTATAAAATGGAAGGGATCACTGCCTGCTAACAGCCTCTCACAAAGGAAATGGAAGGGATCACTGCCCGCTAACAACCTCACACAGAAAATGGAAGGGATCACTGCTCACTAACAGCCTCTCATACAGGAAATGGAAGGGATCACTGCTCACTAACAGCCTCACACACAGGAAATGGAAGGGATCACTGCTCACTAACAGCCTCACACATAGAAAATGGAAGGGATCACTGCTCACTAACAGCCTCTCGCACAGGAAATGGAAGGGATCACTGCTCACTAACAGCCTCTCGCTCAGGAAGTGGAAGGAATCACTGCTCACTAACAGCCTCTCGCACAGGAAATGGAAGGGATCACTGCTCACTAACAGCCTCTCACACAGGAAATGGGATCACTGCTCACTAACAGCCTCTCATACAGGAAATGGAAGGGATCACTGCTCACTAACAGCCTCTCATACAGGAAATGGAAGGGATCACTGCCCACTAAAAGCCTCTCACATAGAAAATGGAAGGGATCACTACCCACTAAAAGCCTCTCACATAGAAAATGGAAGGGATCACTGCCTACTAACAGCCTCTAACACAGGAAGTGGAAGGGATCACTGCTCACTAACAGCCTCTAACACAGGAAATGGAAGAGATCACTGCTTGCTAACAGCCTCACACAGGAAATGGAAGGGATCACTGCCCGCTAACAACCTCACACACAGAAAATGGAAGGGATCACTGCTCACTAATAGCCTCACACAGAAAATGGAAGGGATCACTGCTCACTAACAGCCTCTCATACAGGAAATGGAAGGGATCACTGCTCACTAAGAGCCTCTCATACAGGAAATGGAAGCGTTCACTGTCCACTAACAGCCTCTCGCACAAGAAGTGGAAGGGATCACTGCCCACTAACAGCCTCTCATACAGGGATCACTGCTCACTAAGAGCCTCTCATACAGGAAATGGAAGCGTTCACTGTCCACTAACAGCCTCTCGCACAAGAAGTGGAAGGGATCACTGCCCACTAACAGCCTCACACTGAAAATGGAAGGGATCACTGCTCACTAACAGCCTCTCATACAGGAAATGGAAGGGATCACTGCTCACTAAGAGCCTCTCATACAGGAAATGGAAGGGATCACTGTCCACTAACAGCCTCTCACACAGGAAGTGGAAGGGATCACTGCTCACTAACAACCTCACACATAAAATGGAAGGGATCACTGCTCACTAACAACCTCACACAGGAAATGGAAGGGATCACTGTCTGCTAACAGCCTCACACATAGAAAATGGAAGGGATCACTGCTCACTAACAGCCTCTTACAAAGGAAATGGAAGGGATCACTGCCTGCTAACAGCCTCACACATAGAAAATGGAAGGGATCACTGCCCACTAACAGCCTCACACATAGAAAATGGAAGGGATCATTGCTCACTAACAGCCTCACACACAGGAAATGGAAGGGATCACTGCCCGCTAACAGCCTCACACAGAAAATGGAAGGGATCACTGCTCACTAAGAGCCTCACACATAGAATATGGAAGGGATCACTGCTCACTAACAGCCTCACACACAGAAAATGGAAGGGATCACTGCTCACTAACAGCCTCTCACATAGAAAATGGAAGGGATCACTGCTCACTAACAGCCTCTCGCACAGGAAATGGAAGGGATCACTGCCCACTAACAACCTCTCACATAGAAAATGGAAGGGATCACTGCTCACTAACAGCCTCCTCTGCAGGAAATGGAAGGGATCACTGCCCACTAACAGCCTCACACAGGAAATGGAAGGGATCACATAGAAAATGGAAGGGATCACTGCTCACTAACAGCCTCTACAGGAAATGGAAGGGATCACTGCTCACTAACAGCCTCTCGTACAGGAAATGGAAGGGATCACTGCCCACTAACAGCCTCTCACATAGAAAATGGAAGGGATCACTGCCCACTAACAGCCTCACACACAGAAAATGGAAGGGATCACTGCTCACTAACAGCCTCTCACATAGAAAGTGGAAGGGATCACTGCTCACTAACAGCCTCTCACATAGAAAGTGGAAGGGATCACTGCTCACTAACAGCCTCTCACATAGAAAATGGAAGGGATCACTGCTCACTAACAGCCTCTCGTACAGGAAATGGAAGGGATCACTGCCCACTAACAGCCTCTCACATAGAAAATGGAAGGGATCACTGCTCACTAACAGCCTCTCATACAGGAAATGGAAGGGATCACTGCCCACTAACAGCCTCTCACATAGAAAATGGAAGGGATCACTGCCCACTAACAGCCTCTCACACAGGAAGTGAAAGGGATCACTGCTCACTAACAGCCTCCCACACAGGAAGTGAAAGGGATCACTGCTCACTAACAGCCTCTCACACAGGAAGTGGAAGGGATCACTGCTCACTAACAGCCTCTCGCACAGGAAGTGGAAGGGATCACTGCCCACTGACAGCCTCTCACACAGGAAATGGAAGGGATAACTAAAAAATCAAATAGTACTTGCACTCAATTATATCTTATGTGCAGGTATCTGGGTCACCTCTCTAGAAATGGTAGAGAATACCAAAATGATGCCGCACTCAATTTTATTGCAAAATAGAAAAAGGTTAGTTTATTTGCACAACATAGTGGTATAGGAAAAAGTGCTAATTAATCCTATGTACAGATAAATCTATATCACAGTTGACATAACTAGTCCATCAAATTTAAAGTGCAAAACATTACTTAAAGTGCTTAGTGCCAAATCATCATTATTATTATAACTCTATACACTAAAGTACAAATATAGAAATGCAATTACAATGCTGCCTGCCAATAGTTCCTATGCACAAAGCAAATAACTAGGATAGAGTGCACACAGATGTCAGTAATCTGTGCCACAGAGTTCCCAAAATATACTTAAAGTGTCAATGATCTGTCCCAATCCTGAGTGTATGGTGGTAGATCCAATACAGGAAAAAAAAAAAAAAAAGATATGTTTTTTTTTGTGCATGATCAGTAATATTTTCAAAATCAATGCCAAAATTTCATAATTTCTGCCAGGGTATGCAAACATTTGAGCACAACTGTATATATATCCAAATGTGGCTGGCTGACTCCCCTATTTATCCAGATGTGGCTGACTCCCCCTATTTATCCAGATGTGGCTGACTCCCCCTATTTATCCAGATACAGCTGGCTGACTCCCCCTATTTATCCAGATACAGCTGGCTGACTCCCCCTATTTATTTAGATGTGGCTCGCTCCCCCTATTTATCCAGGTACAGCTGGCTGATTTCCCCTGTTACAGTACCCTCAGCATGAAATGTACAAACCGCGTTTAGTGAATGCTCCCCTCTCGCAATAACATAGGCTGCATGCAAGGAAACGCTGCAAGCTCACGAACGGGATCCATACGGGCACTTCACTCCACGAGCTCCAGACTCACGAATCGCCAATATTAGCCGAACGCAGGTATCTCCCAAGCGGCTAATAATCCCATCTGGCAGTCTCTAGTCGTCGGTAATAAATCCCCCCCAATAACGAGACCAAGCTCCGCATTGAGGGTAAAACAAGAACTTGCTTTACTGTGGGCTACCTGCCCGTATTTATGCAGGTCTCCCACTTGGTGGACACTCCCCTAGGGGACCAAATGGGAGACTGTAACAAAGGACAGACAGGTATCAGACCAGGACATACAGTCACAAAATATTCCCAGCATGCAATAGTAATTCCTCCCCTCTGCCCTGGAGATAATTGAGAAGTAATTCAATCATCTCCAGGACAGAGGCAAATCGCCATTTTAAATTCAACACTTAAAAATAAATAACTTTACATTTGTCGAATACTATCCATTCGTATCACATATCCCCAGATAGCCTGGATCTGAGTGCATATTATTGGCGAATAGCGCTCAGATCCCATACGCACAGTTCAATCGCCATGGAGTCAAAGTCTATTACAGTTCTTCGGTATGCGATTGACTCCATGGGAAGGCTATCTGGGGTAAGTCCATTCGTGCATTTAAACCTCCCGAACGGCCGGTGTTCGCACACTCCTGTCAATTGAGAAGGGAGGTCGACGGCTTCAGCGGTGTTCGGTTGAAAAAGTGTCCGTTTTCAGTTCCATGAAATCAATGCCGAACACCGCTGGTCTTTCGCATGGTTTAAAATGGCCGCCGCCTCGTGGTCGACATACGAACGACGACCACCCTGTATTCGGTTTTAATTGAGAAGTGTCTGTGGTTAACCGCAACGTTCTAATTGGCATCAATAGGTTAACCAGCAGCACACTTCTCTTCTGGGTGGCCGTCGACCGTTTTGTTCGGCAGAAAAGTCAATTCACTTGAACAAAGGCATACGAACGGGTAATTTCGTGAAAAAGGCAAAACAGACGAATCCAGCAATCTTAGTCTATACAGAGGGATCTGTCACATCCCCTATTTATCCAAATGTAGCTCGCTCGCCCTATTTATCCAGATACAGCTGTCTGATTTTCCCTATTTACCCAAATGTGGCTGACTCCCCCTATTTATACAGATACAGCTTGCTGACTCCCCCTATTTATCTAAATGTGGCTGACTCCCTCTATTTATCCAGATACAGCTGGCTGACTCCCCCTATTTATTTAGATGTGGCTGACTCCTCCTACTTATCCAGATGTGGCTGGCTCCCCCTATTTTTCCAGATAAAGCTGGCTGACTCCCCCTATTTATCCAGATGTAGCTGGCTTTCCTAAATATATATCCACATACAGCTGAGTGAGTCCCTCTATTTATCCACATGTGGCAAACTCCTGAATGAGGGGCACACGACCCACTTATATATGAACAGTTATCTTCATCATTTTGTTATGTTTCATACTCCCGAAAGAGACCTACCGCTCAGCCTGAATTCATGGAACTCTTTTGGGCAGGCGCCCGGTGGCATTTCGGCTATGTTTGTGAGATCTGAGCCATTTTTGGATATATTGGGCGCTCAGATCCAGGCTATACGGGGATATAAGACTTGAGGGGGTACCTAAATGTTAACTGTATGTTTTAGGGTGCTTTTGGTATGTGTAAGAGGCAGAGGGAGAAATAGATGGTTATCTTGCAGATTTCGAGAGACAGTGTGCATTACAAATGGCTCACTATTCTATCTGGCAAGTTGTCGGGTAGAGCTGCTGAAGCCTTCCGGGTTATACCTGACGAGGAGATACACCACTACCATGCTGTTAAGGAAGCTCTGCTCGCTCGGTATGCAGTTACCCCTGATGCGTACCGCCGGAAATTTCAGGAATCTAAGAAGCTAGGAGGGGACTCTTACACTGAGTGGGCATGTCGCCTTAACCGTACGGCATCCCACTAGGTCGCCTGATGCCAAGCAGTGTACTACAGTTATTCCTTTCTAGATCATTTTAAATTCCCTTCAACCAGAACTGTGGGAATGAATCCGGGACCGACGACCACTGCTGCCCGCTTGGCCAACGAGTATATGGACGCCAGGCAGATGGAGCAGGAGACCCCTCCCTCGCCCAGAGTTCTGAGCTCCGTTGCCCCCAGGACTCACTCCATGCAGGGGACCTAGGTCTCAACCTGCTCCGCCCAGGATCAAGTGTCACCGTTGCCACCAGTGGGGAAGTGTGCGCAGTGATTGCCCCCTGGAAGCTCCTAGGCCCTCATGGGGCCGCCCTACACCGGCAGCACCCAGTTCCCCTGGCTGCTCACTGCTTGGAAGCTGAGGCCAACCCTAAAGGAATATTTAGGGGGTACTATATGAGATTGACCACGTGCAAGCAGCCACCCAGGATAACCGCCAACACCACCGGCAAGTTGTGCTGGTACATTGGCAGTGTGCCCAAGGATTACGTGACACTGGAACTACCCTGTCCTTCATACAGTTCAAGATAAGGCACACACCGGGCAAACCATAGCTGTCCGGGTGGCTGGGGGAGCTGTTTTTCACCTTCCCACTGCCTGTATTCACCTGGATTGGGGAGCCGGATCCGGCACAGTGAACATGGGGGTTATGAACCAATTACCCACTGAAGTTGTGTTGGGGAATGATTTGGGTCCCTTAACCTCCGCTTACATCCCTACTGAACCTGCTGAAGCAAACCAGGTTACTACCAGGTTACTACCCTTCTACAGGCCAAACTACAGAAGCCAGCCCACCAGACAGGGAAACCAAGGTAAGACACCAGACCCGACTACGACTGTAGAACTTACTCCATTACACTGGGACACCCCCGGGGAGTTTGGTAGGGAGACCAGGGAAGATCCATCCCTCCACAAGTATAGGGCCAAGGAAAAGACAGAGCAAGGGGGACTGGAGGGAGAGAGTTTTATTTGGGAACAGGATAGATTGTACAGGTTAACTGAGACTCACAATACAGGAGCAGCCCCATCCCAGAAGCGATACCAGACCTTCTGTCACCCCTGGGCCACCTGGAGATTTTCCTTTATCATCTTGGCCAACTGCTCCGTGCGGTTCTGGAGTTCCAGCACACATGGCACTATGGGGGTTCCCTCATGTTCCATTCCCCCTTCCCAGTGTTCCCTAATGAGATCAAGGGGACCTCGTACCCTTCTCCCATAGAACAACTCGAAAGAGGAAAACACAGATTCCTGTGGCACCTCTCGATAAGCAAACAAGAGGTGAGGCAGGAATCGCTCCCAGTCTCTGTACTCTTTAGTAAAGGTCCTCAACATTTATTTGAGGGTACCATTAAATCGTTCACAGAGACCATTAGTCTTGGGGTGGTATGGTCAACATAAGACCGGGCTTTTGCGACATGCCAGTGGACGCTTGCTGCTGCGGATCCACACTGTTATGTAGCCCCACGTATGTTCACGATGGTGATGACGTCCACGTGCGGGTGATGTCACGCAGAGGATGCGCGCGCACGTTTTGTGATCATAAGCCGGATATGGGCAATCGGATTCACAAGAGGGATAATTAAACTCACAAGAGGGATAATTAAACTCACTCATTTCTTCTGCTCATTGCCCTGTCGTGGTTTCCCTTTGCTTCCCTTTGTGCTCCTGATCGTGTTTCTTTGGTTATTATCTTTGGCTTTGTTCTGACTTGCCTGATTTCTGGTATCCATAACTATTGGCTATTCCTTGCAACTGTGTATCGTTCTGTGTCTCTAACCCCGGCTAGTATTTTGACTATTTTCTTATATGTTAAGTCCGGCCATTCTAAGGTCCGGTTAGACGTTATCATTATTCCTAAGTGTGATACTAATACTGCGTGTTGCATCAATTGTGATCCTGCAGATTTGTGTCAGCACATAGTAGCTTATGAGAGAAAGCTAGAGGAGAATGATCACCGTATGGATCGTTCGCCCAAGCTTTCAATACACTACTAATTCGTACGGCTCATTTACAGCCTGAGATTCCGTTGGCAGGTACACCCCCATCTACTGTACTTACTCCCATTGAATATAGGGCACCTAATATCATCTTATCTTCACCCCCGCATTTTGAAGGTAATATTCATGAATGTCAGGTTTTTTTTAATCAATTCGAGATGAAGCCTCTCCTCGGTCTTTTCCCACAGACAGAGCCAAAATTGGATACCTAATGAACCAATTACAAGGTAAAGCCTTAGCATGGGCCAATCCATTATGGGAGAGTAATAAGTCTATTGCCCATAATTACTTGGAATTCCTTATGGAATTTAAACTAACGTTTGAACCTTTGGGTACGGAGACCAACGCTGCTACTGCCCTAATGCGTATCAAACAAGTGAACCGCCGTGGAAACAGCCCCTCTAGTACGGGTGGGGTTGAGAGGATAAGGAAGTCTAGACAGGTTGTGGTGGTAGGGGACTCTATTATTAAGGGGATAGGGTAATCTGCCACTCTGATCGACTCAACCGGACAGTTTGCTGTCTCCCGGGTGCTCGTGTCCGGCATGTTGCCGACAGAGTGGAGGGATTATTGGGAGGGGCTGGAGATGACCCAGCTGTCATGGTCCATTTTGGTACCGATGACAAAGTCAGAGGAAAATGATTCCTAAAGAATGAGTTCAGGGAACTAGGAAGTAAGCTTAAGAAAAGGACCTCCATGGTAATTTTTTCAGAAATATTACCTGTGCCGTGCGCTACAGCAGAAAGGCAGCGGGAGATTAGAGAGGTCAATGCATGGCTTAAGTCTTGGTGCAGGAAAGAGGGTTTTGGGTTTTTAGAGCACTGGGACAATTTTGAGCTTGGGTACAACCTGTATAGTCATGATGGATTGCACCTAAACGGAAAAGGGTCTGCTGTGCTGGGGGATAGGATGGCTAGAATGTTGGAGGAGATTTTAAACTAGTGGTGGGGGGAGGGTCAAAGCAATCTAGAAAATGGAGATAGGATGGAAAGGAGATGGGCTTTAGCTCAGAACAAAGGGGGGAGGGGAGGGGAGGGGAAAACTCAGAACAGAGGAGGTATGTAATATTGATAATTCACAAAAAGTACAAAAGACTCATGATAATATTAAATGTATGCTTACTAATGCAAGGAGCCTATATAACAAAATGGGGGAACTAGAGGCAATAGCATACACTAAACAATATGATATAATAAGCATAACAGAAACATGGTGGGATGAGACACATGACTGGGCAGTTAATTTAAATGGGTACACGTTATTTAGGAAGGATAGGAAAAACAAGAAGGGTGGTGGGGTATGTTTATATGTCAACCATGAGTTAAAGTCAAATCTTAGGCATGTGGAGTGTGACGAGGAAAAGGTGGAGGCTTTATGGGTAGATATCTGCTTGAGGCAAACAAAGGGAAATCAATTATTGGTTGGGATATGTTAATTATCCAGACATAAATTGGGAAAGAGGGACTAGTACTTCAGCAAGGGGAATCAGGTTTTTGAATGTGTTAAATGACACCTTTATGTCACAACTGGTACAAGCACCAACTAGAAAGGATGCATGTCTGGATCTTGTCATAACAAACAATGTTGATCTTTTAACCAACATTCAAGTAGGGAAGCATTTGGGAAATAGTGATCACAATATGGTAAATTTTGAAATAAACTCAAAAAAGCAAAAGCAAGTGGGGTATACTAAAACATACCATTTAAAAAAAGCCAATTTCAATAAGGTTAGGGCAGCTCTACAACATATCGACTGGCATAAACTCCTTAGTGATAAAAACACTGAGGATAAATGGAAACTATTCAAACAAATATTAGAAAGGTACATTACTCAGTATGTACCATTGGGTAATAAATATAAAAGAAACAAATTAAAAATGTGGCTTAGTAGAGAAGTAAAACAAGAGATTAAAAATAAGAAAAGGGCATTTAAAGCATTTAAATCAGACAAATCAAAGGCATCCTATTTAAGATATAAGGAAGCCAATAACGCTTGCAAAAAGGCAATTAAAGTGGCTAAACTAGAAAATGAGAAATTGATAGCTAAAGAATGCAAAACCAACCCCAACATTTTTTTCAAGTACATCAATTCTAAAAAAACAAAAAATGAAAGTGTAGGTACACTTGAAACAGAGTTGGGTTTATTAGCTAATGAAGACCAGGAAAAAGCAGAAATTTTAAATAACTATTTTTCTTCAGTATATATTAATGAGGATCCTATGGCAAGAGATATGCAAATGATTGCTGCAAAAAACTTGCAAATAACTTGTGATTGGATAACTCGAGACAAGGTGCTACAGCTATTAAAGAAAATTAATATAAATAAAGCTCCGGGGCCTGACGGTATTCACCCACGAGTACTTAAGGAGCTAAGTGGGGAAATAAATGAACCTCTGTATTTAATTTTTCAAGATTCTTTTGTTTCAGGTGTTGTACAGGAGGATTGGAGGAAGGCAGATGTTGTTCCTATATTTAAAAAGGGTTCAAAATCCTTTCCTGGAAATTATAGACCTATGAGCTTAACTTCTGTAACTGGGAAAATATTTGAAGGGCTATTAAGGGATAATATTCAGGAATTCATTGGGAAGAACTTTGTTATTAGCAATAATCAGCATGTCAAACTAACCTAATTACATTCTACGAAGAAGTAAGTAGAAGTATAGATCAGGGTGTTCCAGTGGATGTGATCTACTTGGATTTTGCCAACGCATTTGATAAGGTTCCTCACAATAGGTTAGTCTTCAAACTAAAAGAAATTGGTCTAGATGAATATTCTTGTTCTTGGGTAGAACATTGGCTTAAGGATAGAGTACAGCGAGTTGTAATTAATGGTAAATTTTCAGGCTGGACAAAAGTGGTAAGTGGTGTCCCTCAGGGTTCTGTTTTGGGACCACTTCTATTTAACATATTTATAAATGATCTTGAAATAGGCATTGAAAGCCATGTATCAGTGTTTGCAGATGACACAAAACTTTGTAAAGTAATAAAATGTGAGCAGGATATTGCTTTGCTGCAGAGAGACTTGGATAGATTGGGGGACTGGGCACTAAAATGGCAGATGAAATTTGTGACAAGACCAATCTCGCCACATTGCATTGGAGGAGCCTGGTTGCCCACCTGCTGCCTTTGGATTATGGACCGGCAGCTAAAGGGTTAATTTTACTGTGCAGAAGGATTTATTTCTCCCTTTCTGCACAGCTGTTCGGTAGATTCTATCTACCGAACAAACAGTTTCTTTTCAGCCTCCCCAGAGCCCTGGGAAGCCGGCCGGCGACCTTAATTGGCCACCCAGAAGCTGGAGTACCTCCCTGAAGCCGCGGTTAACCGCGGCTTAACGAGCGTGTGCCGGCAATTGACCACCCAGTAGCTGCGGTTAACCGCAGCTTAATTGATTGTTACTGGGTGGTCACGGTTACACTTAGCCGTTACACGATGGCGGTGTTCTGGAGCTCCCCGGGCAGCCAGTGCTTTTCTGCCCGGCTTTCCTGCATCAAACCTGGACACTTTTACGTGTAGGCACCGCTGAACCTCCAGCCCCTGGTTCTAATTCGTACGGATTTAACGAATGCATGTAAATTCGGTATTTTGTGTTGGGGGAATGTTTTAACCCAGATAGCTATGCCATGGAGCCTGTTCGTGGAATTAAAGACTTTGGCTCCATGGCAATTAAACTGCATTCGTGTGGTCTAAGTGCCATTCACCTAATAATGTGCACTCAGACCTGAGCTATCTGGGGATATGTTACATGTATATATTTACTGTACCATTTGTCCCATTATGTATTTTAAAGTGATAGTCTGTCTTTGTGTCCCCACGTGTGTAATGGAGTTTTGCCTTTGTCCTGGGAGATAATTGAATTACTTCTCCAGGGCAGAGGGGAGGAAGCCAGGATGCATTGTGGGGATGTTTTACTTCTGTATGTCTGTAATTGGTACATGTCTGTCTTTTGTTACAGTCTTCCATCTGGTCCCCTAGGGGAGTGTCCACCAGGTGGCAGACCTGCATAAATACTGGGCAGGTAGCCCTCATTAAACAGACCACTGCTTGACCCTCAACACGGAGTTCTGTCTCGTCTTTGGGGGGATTTACTGTATGCTGATAGAGACTGGTTGCCAGGAGTGTAAGCCGCTTGGGTGCTTTTCCTGTTCGTCTGCTAGCAGCTATTCGTGGGGTTCCAGTTCGGGTGTTTGGAGCATTCCCTTGTATGCAGTTCGAGTGTTTGGGGCATTCCCTTGTATGCAGTTCGAGTGTTTGGGGCATTCCCTTGTATGCAGTTCGGGTGTTTGGAGCATTCACTTATTGGCGGTTCATGTGTTTGGTGTTCTGCAGTAGCTGTGCCTGCATCTCTGGAAAAGGGGCCGATCGCCTAAACGGTTTTTACCCATTTTGTGCAAAACGGTCCTTTACAAAATTTAACATAGAGAAATGCAAAGCCTATGCAATGCACCATCCTCAAACTAATGGGGCAGCTGAGAGGGCTAACCAGTCATTGCGCACCCTCTCTGGTGTATTTATGCTGTTTTGTCAAAAGCACACAGGAGAATTGGTCTGAATTGCTACATTGGGCCGAATTTGCAAGGAATAATGCTACCCATGACTCATCCGGGCATAATGTCACATTTACATCCTCTCCATATGCAATGCACAACATAAATCACCTTTCCAGGAATAGGAGAGGTGCTACTCGGCGGTCCTTTGCCATAAGATTGGGCTTTTGCGACATGCCAGTGGATGGGGAAGGGGATCCACACTGTTATGTAGCCCTATGTCTGTTCACGATGGTGGCAACGTCGACGCGCGGGTGACGTCACGCAGAGGATGCGCGCGCACGTTTTGTGATCATAGGGCGAATACGGCCAATCGGATTCACAAGAGGGATAATTAAACTCACTCATTGCTTCTGCTCATTCACACTTTGCAGAGCCATGTATAGTAGGCTCTGACTATAGTTGCTCTTTGATAATTCCCTGGTATATTAAACTCCACCACGCCTTCAGAGTTTTCCACTTGGATCAGGATACAGGATATATAAAAATTCCAAAACGGAGTGGGGATACTTTTCAAAGTTTAATAATATACAGGGACATATATAAAGTGCATAAATTAAATAGCAGCACTACATGTACGAAGACATCTATAAAGTGCATAAAAAAATATAACACTAACGCGTTTCGACTAGAATAAAGTCTTTTTCAAAGTGCATAAAGTAATAGTCGCCATATTGGGTATTTATATCCTCACTGGTGTTCTAATTTGGCGCCCAAACGTCTCCGTCGTGGTGTCCTCCTCCTACTTCCTGGTTCCGGCGGGCGGCTTCCACGTTCCCGCCCTTTTTCACGTCACGTTGCGTCTGACGTCGGACGTTTTTCGCCGGACCGGAAGTGCCTCATATTGAGTTTGTGAAGTTGTTGCAGCCATATTTGAACGTTCTTTAATCATATATTCTAAATAAGGAAGTTCTGGCAATAATCTTTCTTCAAATTTATGTGTCTCTTATCCTAAAACTTATTTCATTATAATCATACATTTGTACATATATCAAAATCTAATTAGTAACATATAAAATACAAGAGGAGATAAAAAACGGAGAAAGAGAGAAATTTAAAGGGAAAGAGATATTATTAATCAAAAAAATATAAAAAATATAAAAAACAATATAGTTAAAAAATATATATTGTTAAAAAGTGTATATATTAGTAACCTTAAATTAAAATAATTAAATTAATTAAATAAGTACACTCATCTCAAAATCCATATTGAGACCTTTGGGTGATAGTGTATCTAAATTAAAAATCCAGCCCATTTCACATTTACTTAGGTTAGAATTAATGTCACCCCCTCTCCAATGCTTAGTCACAGCTTGAATTCCATAAAACTTAATTCCACTTGGATCTTGATTATGATGTTCTAAAAAATGTAAAGAAACACTGTGTTTTAAATCCTTTTTTAATGTTGTATATGTGTTCCCGCACCCTCGTGGCCACACACCTGGACGTCTTGCCCACATATTGCAGGCCACAAGGGCATTCTAACACATACACAACATTTTTAGTTTTACAGGAAATAAAGTTTTCTATCTTATGTTCTTTCAGGTTGACATTGGAGTGGAAGGACAGTATCTTCCTTTCTTTTACTTTAGATGTTCTACATCCAATACAGCTACCACAGAAATTAAATCCTTTTAATAAAGCTTTCTGACTATTTAAAAAATTATTGTCAGTTTTTTCAATAAAACTCGAAGTTAAAATCTGTTTAAGATTTTGTGCCCCCCTATATATAATTTTTGGTTTCTCCCCTATATAGGGTGCAATGTCATCATCCTGTTTAAGTAAATGCCAATTTTTGTTGAGAATACGTTTTAATTTAGAATGATTTTTATTAAAGTTAAATATTAGTGGAATCGTGTCTTCATGTTTGTTATCTTTCTTTTGTTGGTAATTTAACAATTCTTCTCTTTTTAATTTTCCAATTTCTTGAATTGTACTTTCAAGATTTTTATTTTCATAGCCTTTTTCTAAAAATTGTCCTTTCAATGTAGAGGCCTGCAAGTTATATTTTTCTATTTCCGAGCAGTTCCTTCTCAGTCTAAGGAACTGACCTCTCGGAATATTGTCCAGCCAAGGTGGAAAGTGACAGCTACCCTTTTCAATAAAGCTGTTCACATCCACCTGTTTAAAAAAAGTACAGGTTTCAATTTTATCTTTTTTTTATATAAATATTCAGGTCTAGAAAATCAATCGTTTGATTATTTATTACATGAGTTAATTTGATATTCCACTGATTAATATTAAGATAATTTAAAAAATCTAAAACCAATGATTCATCACCTTTCCAAATAAAAAAAATATCATCAATGTATCTTCTATAGAGGACCAGGTTCGCAACCCAGTCATGCTGGGAAAAAACAAACTGTTCCTCCCAAAAGGCCATAAAAAGATTAGCATAACTGGGGGCGAACCTGGTCCCCATAGCCGTTCCTCTACATTGCAGATAAAAATCCCCCTCAAACCAAAAAAAATTATTATTTAAAATCAGTCGAATAGACTCTAATATAAAATCAATTTGCTCCTCCGAATACATTTTTGAATTTTGGAGAAAGGATCTTGTTGCTTCACAGCCTTTATCATGTTGAATACACGTATAGAGGCTGGCCACATCACACGTGACAAGCAAGAAATCCTTTTCCCACTTAATATCTTTTAAAGTCTGTAATAGGCTCATAGAGTCTTTAAGAAAGGAGGGACATGTCTTAACTATCGGCTGTAAAAAGGTGTCAACATATTTGGATAGGGGTGATAATAGTGATCCTATCCCTGAGACTATAGGTCTCCCGGGTGGGTTCTGTATATCTTTATGTAACTTTGGCAAAACATATATAACGGGTATTCTTGGGCATTCTGTGTTAAGAAATTTATATTCCTTTAGCGTTAAGATGTCCTTTTGTAGACCCCTATCTAAGATTTTTATATATTCTTTCCTTATTTCAATTGAAGGATCATTTTTAAGCTTCTTATATGTTTCTTTATCGTCTAATTGTCGTTTAATCTCCGCTATATATGACTCTTTATTTAAGAGCACCACCCCTCCCCCCTTATTGGCGGGTTTAATCACTATGTTTTTATCTTTTTTTAAATCCATCATTGCTTTTTTCTCTTTAATAGTCAAGTTGTTTTGATATTTATTATTTTCAACTTTTATTTCTTTTATATCCTTAATACATGCTTTCTCAAAAACCTTCATTTCTTTGGATTTTAAATAAATAGGATAAAATTTAGAGGGGTTCTTTAAATCTGTGTGATGAAATTCATTGGTCTCTTCATTAATCTCAACATCTTGACTTTTCATATTATTCATTTCTTTTTCCTTAAAGAACTTTTTTAGACATAATTTTCTAGTAAACCTATTTAGGTCTGTATAGGTTTCAAACTTGTTAATAGGGCAGCTAGGTACAAATTTAAAACCTTTACTTAAAACACTTTTGTGGTTTTCATCTAAAACTTTATTTGATAAATTAAAAATCTTTATCAGCGTCTTATTTTTCCCTCGGGTCTTCTCAATTCTCTTATTTCCATCTCTTCTAAATCTCCTATCTCTCCCTCCTCGTACTCTCTGTGTCTCCTTTTCTGTGGAACTGGACTCATAAATCTTCTGTCTCTTTGGCCTCTCTCTAAAAAAAGGTCATGGTCTCCATTATCATTTCTTTTTAATGTTTCATATCTATTATAAGTCGAGATTGATCTTTTTTGTGGTAATGGGGTCCTATACTGTTCTTGTTCTTTTCTATTGAACCTTTCATTTACTTTCCTACTTTCTACCTTCTGCGGGTATCTTTTCTTTCTTACCTCTACCCAATCATTCGTTTCGTTCCTATTTTTATATGGGATAGGTTCCTTTCTGGGTGGGTTCACTTTATCATTTTTTTTTTTTTT